GAGTATTTCCTTTGTTTGGGAAAAGCTGTGTCCGTCTGGCTTGCTCTGTAGTCTATAGTTTCTCGCCTGAGGATCTTTCCTGCTACTGGACATGGATCCCACTAGCAGGGTCTCTGCTGTGACCGACAGGAGATGCTGGTCCTGGGAGAGGCAGCCAGTGAGGGCCCTACACAGAGCATGCCTGCGCCGGGACTGACCCAGCCAGCAGTTCACTCACCCCATAGACACTGGCTCAGGGTCTCCCTGGTGGAATGTGGACCATGGCGTGTTGTTACAGGCTCAGGTAGAATTGTCAGGAATGGTGCTCCAGTATTCTCAAGCCTGAGGGATCTTGCATTTTGCATAGCCCCTTTATTTTTTGCAGATGAGGAAACTGAGACTCAGATATCTGAAATTGCTTGTCCAAGGTCGCACAAGAAAGCCAGGTTCAGGCCGGGCAAGGTGGCTCAAGCCCGTAATCCCAGCACTTTGGGAGGCCGAGGTATGCAGATCATGAGGTCAAGAGATCAAGACCATACTGGCCAACATGGTGAAACCCCGTCTCTATTAAAAATACAAAAATTAGCTGAGCCTGGTGGCGCAGGTCTGTAGTCCCAGCTACTCGGGAGGCTGAGGCAGGAGAATCTCTTGAACCTGGGAGGTGGAGGTTGCAGTGAGTGAGATCATGCCATTGCACTCCAACCTGTCGACAGAGTGAGACTTCGTCTCAAAAAAAAAAAAGCAAGCCCGGTTCAAGGCCTGGCTCCACCACTGCCTTGTCATGTGGCCTTGAGCTACTTCCTTGGCCTTGCTGAGCCTGCTTCCTCATCTCTGAAGAGGGATAAGAAAAGTTCCTACTCCACAAGACTAATGTGGGCACTAAATGATCCAGGGCCTCATAGCAGGCCCTCTGCTCATGGGAGGAGTTCAGTACAGTCCACCTCCATCTCAGAATCTGCATTACCCTTGTTTTATTATTGTCTGCAGTTGGCAACAACCACTACAATCAAATGAAGACTTTGGAAACCAAGGCTGTGCAGCTCTTGCATGAAGTTCCTTGAAAGTCCCTCTTGCCTTCCATCCTCCCGATGTTCACATGTGGTAGAGATGGCAAATCTTTCTTTCATTTTACTGATGAGATAAAACTTAGTCAAAGACATGTCCTAAACCTGTGGTCTCCATTTCCTAGTTTACCTGCTCTTTCTGTCTCTACCTGCTGCCAATTAGAATATTCCTGCTGGTGGGATATTCCAGCCACATGGGGGCTGAGTATGGGAGAGAAGAAACATCCCCTCCCGCCTCAATTCAATGGAAATTACCGCAGCATTTTTACTGTTTTCTATTTGTTCTTGAGTTTATCTCCAGGAGCTGGGGGTTGGGGGCTGGGGACTGGGGATCCTTGACTGACTGCACAGAGCTGGGTCTATAGGAGCGGATAGAATGCATTTCCCAGCTCCAGGGTTGTGGCCAGTGATGACTTTAATGGCAAATAATTACCATCAATTGTGTTCTAGTGGCTGAAGGGATTTATGGACATTTTCTGTGACTCTGTGGACACAGGCCCAAGGTTCCAACTGAACAGAGCTGGGAGGAGACACAGCGACCCTTGTTAAACAGAAAGAATGAGCTTAATGTATACAGGGAGAGGGTAAGGGGTGGCAGTGGGGAGACAGAAGGAAAGGTTCACCCTGTTAAATATTTACAGTTTGGGCCTTGGGTTCTGTATTTCCAAAGGCAGTGTTAGGAAGGTAATTTCCGTAATATATTCCTCCCTCAAAACCCACCTTGCATTAGGAATTACAGCAGGCACAAAACATTGCTCATGAATATTAATCAGTAACCTCCCCCTGCCATTTGGGAATGGGGGCTGATACTAAAATACTCACTCCCCAACCCCCAAAGGCAAACAGCCCCGGAGGAAAACTCTGAAGCCAGCTCCCGAGGCCGAGAGAGTAGAAGTCTTTCTGGCCGTGGGGTCAGAGGGCATGGGCAGGGGAGGGGTCAGCTTTGATTCCGCTATGTGTTGGTGAATGCCTAACCTTTATGGAACTTTGCTAGCTGCGTTTTGGGCTATTTAGCTGCAAAACCAAAAGATTTAATTTTTCCCCTCTCTCCTTTTGGGTTTTGTCTTCCACTGACAGCAATAACAGACACAGGTCTGGAGGCAGTTAAGGCAGGCTAGGCTCTCTACCATCCGAAGAAAAGACAGGTCTTAACTGAAAGAGAACCCAACATCTATAAAGCCAGCACAAACATTCCTGACACCCTTCACCATTGCTTCTGTGATCTTTTCAATAGAGAAAGGAAAAATGAGTGGCTCGGGAGGTGTCTTTCATAATACATTGTATCTATACAACCTGTTACATTTTATAAAGCATTTCCACATGCTCCAGTATCCACTGCCAATCCTTGCATCAGTTCTGAGTTGGGGCTTATGGTCCCCTTTTACGGGTGAGAAAACTGAGGCTTATGACTAACTTCATCAAGATGACAGGGATTTGGAAGAGGCAGAACTAGCACTCCAGCCCAAATTTCTGTCTCCAAAGACAGATATTTTCTCAATAGATCAACTAAGTGTTGTGATTAACTTCTCTGGATCTCATTTTTCCAAATCTGTAAAAGAAAGCTGTTTTCTAAGTTCCATTCAAATCTTCCAAAGTATTCTTCCTGGTCCTTTATAAGAAACAGTCCATCGAAAGGGTGTCAAAGCCTGATAAAACTATAAGAAAGAGTCAAATCGTGTATCTCAGTAGCATTTAGAGTTTTACATTAAATCCCCAGCATGTGAGAAAGATGGGATTTGTTTCCATGCTGCTCTCCAACACCAGTCAGGATGGTTATGAAATCAGTCTGGAATATCTCCATAGGGACCCTCTGGCATTTGGATGTGGAAGCTGCTTCTAGCATTGTCAAGTGTCTAAAAGTATGTGATTTTGGTCAATAATACCATCCTGTTTTCAACACCATGATGCTGTTAGTGAAAATGTGGCTATGAAGTATACTATTGGGTATCTGTACATAGATTGTACTTTAGGGAGTATATTCCTGGCAGGGATTTGGGGCAGGAATTTGTGATTAGGTTCTTTGTGAGGGACAGGTGACTTAGGACATAGCAATGCTTAGGCTTAAATCATCTTACTTTTTATTCTTGGGTAGGAAGCTATATCCCAATTTACACAACCCAGATGGAAGTGTTCTGATTACTTTTTGGAGGCCACCAGGATTTGTGTTTAGAGTCTTGATTTAGTTACTATTGTCCTAGCTAGTATGGATATAGCAAAGTCTTTAGCCTGCAGCTGTGACAACTTATACTCCTTAGGAGCCGATCTGGGTGGAGAAACCCAGTGATGAGGTCCCCTCACCAAAGTCTGAAAAGCTGGATGTCCTGGTTTGGTAGAGAAGCGAGCCCTTTGGTCCTGAGCTCACCACCTGTCCCTCTCTGGTGCCTTTTGCTTCTGGGCAGAAGAGACCAGAGGGCATCAGGGAACCTATCTGGCTTGGCAGTTACTTTGCTTCTCTGGATTCAAGCCTGTTGGGAGTGTGACATCACCGGAGAGGATGCCAGAGGTGAGCACTGTGGGAACGTTTCTGTTTTCTTCTGCCCTCCACTCCTGTAATAACAAAGATGAGGCAAACGATAGCAGAAGTAGTGGAGAGGTCAGCTGTTTGGCTCTGGAGTTAGACTCCCTGGGTTCAAGCCCTAGCTCTTCTATACTGGGATCCTGGCAAATTTGTTGACCTCAATGTGCCTGCTATGAAATGGGGTAATATTCTCACCACACAAGGTTGCTGAGCAGATCAAGTTACACAGTTACCATAGTGCACAGCAGAGCACAGCAGAGCACAGCACAGCAGAGCACAGCACAGCACAGCACAGCACAGCACAGCACAGCACAGCACAGCACAGCACCAATGCCCAACTCATGTAAGCTCTTGCCGCCAAGCTTCTGGTTTGCCTGTGGCATGGGTTGAGAGCATCCCATCTCCCTGATCCCTGGGTCAGGGCCATATAGCCGCCTCTGGTTGTAGACTACTGGGGAATTACCCATGCTTTGTCTTTTCACTTTTCTTTGGAAATGTGGGACAGTTCAGTCTCTTAGGGTTCTTTGCCAGATAATGAAGCTCTAAGCAAAGCTGTGTGGTGCATATGGGGCTGCTTTTTAACAAGCTGGCTCCATGCAGGCGGCCAGGTGGAAGAACTCTCTGATCCTTAGGGAAGCCAAATTCCAATCGACTCTGTGGGGTACAGCCAAGACAGGAAGCAGGCTCTAGTGTCCCCACAAATTCTGGAACAGTGGTCTTAAGTAGATCTAGAAGCTGGCCAGAATCTATGCAAATTACAAGGAAGCATTTGTCCTTTTCCCTGGATTCTCAAAGGAGTCTGGGACCCCAAAATGGGAATGAGTCATGTCAGAGAGGAAGATGACCTCAGACAGCCGGGAGGGGGAAGGTGGACAAATAGCCCAACGTGGGATGGTCCTCAGTGGGTGGATCAGGCTCCTGCCTGGGGGCTCCGCTGGGAAAAGGCAGGATATGGGGCTGGCGCTGTCAGAACATAGCCACATTGTCTCCTGCTGACTGGCAGTGGGGACAAGAAACCAAGAATTCTGCTGTTCAAATAAACAAGTGATCTGGGTTGATAATATGACTCTGATATGAATGCGCTTGCTAACGGTTCTTCCCTTTTTAAGGGCCTAAATGAGAGAACATGACAGCTATAAGTTTCTGGTGGCGTGTGGATGCTCTGAAACTTGCCAAGGGGATGAAGGGTACTGGTTTCTTTCTGGGGTGCAGATTTCCATCATGCAGTAGTTTACCCTGCGTCTCTTCATCTCTCTTTCTTTCTTTTTGCCTGCCCTATTCTAGGCAACAGGAAGAACCATGAACAATGACAATCACAATTGCTACCATTTATAAGACATAAGCTGTACACCAGGCACTTGTGTTTAATGTTTTCTAGTTATTAGCTAGGTTAATCCCAATACTATTCCTTGGATATAGGCATTATTATTATTTTACAGATGAGGAAACTGAAGCTCAGAGGGATGAACTGTCCTGCGAAGGTCCACGGCTAGTACATAGAGGAGCGCAGATGCATGCAGTCCCTCCGACTCGGATGTCTGTGTACCGTCCTGCCCCCTCCCACTGCAGCCTGCATCACAGACTGGAGTTAAGAGTGCCACCGTATTAGGTCTGTCCCAGAGGGAAAGGCCAAGGGGGAGGGTGTAGAGAACAGGAGAGCTTTGCTGTGATGTGTAGGGTGGGGGTGTTGTGAGGGTATATATTGGAGGTTGTGTATGATGGAAAGGCAGCAAGACACTGTCTTATGCTTAATTGGTCACTCCTTGGCTGGGGACTTCACTTCTCCCACCAAAGTCCCAACCCTTGCCTGCCATACCCCACTCAGACTGAAGGCGTTGGAGTAGCTGGCCGTCTGTCTCTGTCCTCTCTGACTTTAACGTGGGGCTGGGACAGGCTGCTAGGCTCAGTGCCAGGAAGCAAGACAAGGGGCTTGCAGCAAGGGCTTAGGGTATAAGCACGTTGGCATCGGCTGATGGATTTATAAGGGCTCTGCAATTAGGACAACTCCTAATTCAAAGAAATGCAGAATCTGCTCAAACCTTGCTTTGTATAGCCTGTTGGAGGGACATGTGCTATGTGTGTGTGTGTTTATATATATATATACACATACCAGATATTACATTACTACAATGATAATATGAGGTAGCTAATGCTTACATAATGCTTCCTATGTATCAGACACTATTTTAATTTCTCTATGTATTATAAAATTTAATCCTCCTAGCGACCCTACAGTATCTCCTTTTGTTATCCCCATTTTGTAGAAGAGGAGCCTGAGGGACAGAGATGTTAAGTAATCTATTCCAGCTAGCTTGGGTGGTAAGAGACAGGCTTCATAAATGCAGCCATGTGCTTTGTAAACCTTGTACCCGTGCCCTTAACCATGCCATTGGATGGCCCTATCATCCCAGGCATGGTGACAGGCATCTCTGACTCCTGTCCCCAGTGGGACTGATACTTCTTTCAGGTTCTGAGATTGTTGAGGCTGGTGAGGCTTCTCAGTTAAAGTAAAAAAGATTTTGGCTGGGTTTTATTTAGACCAGAGTTTCCATGGCTGTTTTGAACAATCCAGTACTCAGCCTGCTGGCTCTCTGGTGTTTGCAACAAGAGCCATTTCTATTGAAAGACTAAGGAAAGATGGTCCAGGTGAACCCTGGACAGAAGACAAAGGAGGTTAAAGGCAACATCTTCCCCCCGCTGGCTTGAAAATCGTCATCTTTCTCCCCAGGAATCAATTTCTTTGCATCCTGAATGTTTAAAAAAAAGACTTGTGTCATTAAAAATAAAGTTTTTTTTTTAAAGGAAAAAAAGCTATCTTTGACTCTTTGTGCATCTCCACATCCCCTTAGATGTGTTTTCAGAAAACCTCAGCTAAATGAGCACATTTCTAGAGTGTTAAGGGATAAATGGAACAGTAAGTGGACTGACTACTTGGTTATTTGACAATTCTCTGTGGGAGAATAACTTAAAACAATGCCCTGTGAAGATCTCAGAGATGCAAAACAGGAGAATGTCAAAAAGGTAAAGGAATTCTTAGCCAGGGGTAACAAGGAGGGAAGGAAGGAAATGTATTTAATGGAATTGTACCAGCCTGTAAGGAGCAGGAGAAAACAACCAACATTCTTTTATTTATGTATTTTTAAAAGTAATATGAGGTCATTTATTTATAAAAAATAATCAAACAAAAAATAAGTGGTTAAATTATAATACCTAGTGCCAGCAAAGGTGCAGTGAAATGGGCATTTTCTTATACTATTAGTGGTGTTCGTTTAAATTGTATATAAGCCTTCCAGGCTCAAGCCTGACTTTTTTTAAATTATACTTTAAGTTCTGTAGTACATGTGCAGATCTTGCAGGATTGTTGCTTAGGTACATATATGCCATGGTGGTTTGCTGCCTCCATCCCTCCATCACCTACATCAGGCATTTCTTCCAATGTTATCCCTCCCCAATCTCCCCACCCCCTGATTTCCCTCCCTTGGCCCCCCCCCAAAACACCCCAGTGAGTGATGTTCTTTTCCCTGTGTCCATATGTTTTCATCGTTCAATATCCACCTATGAGTGAGAACATGCAACATTTGGTTTTCTGTTCTTGTGTCAGTTTGCTAAGAATGATGGTTTCCAGATTCATCCATGTCCCTGCAAAGGACATGAACTCATCTCTTTTTATGGCTGCATAGTATTCCACGGTGTATATGTGCCACATTTTCTATTGTTGATGGGCCTTTGGGTTGGTTCCAAGTCTTTGCTATTGTAAACAGTGCCGCAATAAACATACATGTGCATATGTCTTTATAATAGAATGATTTATAATTTTTTGGGTATATACTCAGTAATGAGATTGCTGAGTTAAATGGTATTTCTATTTCTAGATCCTTGAGGAATTGCCACACTGTCTTCCACAATGGTTGAACTAATTTACACTCCCACCAACTGTGTAAAAGTGTTCCTATTTCTCCACATCCTCTCCAGCATCTGTTGTCTCCTGATTTTTTAATGATTGCCATTCTAACTGGCATGACATGGTATCTCAATGTGGTTTTGATTTGAATTTCTCTAATGACCAGTGATGATGAGCATTTCTTCGTATGTTTGTTGGCTGCATAAATATCTTCTTTTGAAAGTGTCTGTTCATATCCTTTGCCCACTTTTGGATAGGGTTGTTTTTCTTCTTGTAAATCTGCTTTAGTTCTTTGTAGATTCTGGTTATTAGCCCTCTGTCAGACAGGTAGCTTGCAAAAATGTTTTCCCATTCTGTTGGTTGCTGGTTCACTCTGTTTCTTTTGATGTGCAGAAGCTCTTAACTTTAATTAGATCCCATTTGTCTATTTTGGCTTTTGTTTCCATTGCTTTTGGTGTTTTAGTCATGAATCCTTGCCTATGCCTATGTCTTGAATGGTATTGCCTAGGTTTTCTTCTAGGGTTTTTATGGTGTTAGGTCATATGTTTAAATCTTTAATCCATCTGGAGTTAATTTTTGTCTAAGGTATAAGGAAGGGGTCCAGTTTCAGCTTTCTGGACATGGCTAGCCAATTTTCCCAACGCCATTTGTTAAACAGGGAATCCTTTTCCCATTGCTTGTTTTTGTCAGGTTTGTCAAAGATCAGATGGTTGTAAATATGTGGCGTTACTTCTGAGGCCTCTATGCTGTTCCATTGGTCTATATCTCTGTTTTGGTACCAGTACCATGCTGTTTTAATTACTGTAGCCTTGTAGTATAGTTTGAAGTCAGGTAGCTTGATGCCTCCAGCTTTGTTCTTTTTGCTTAGGATTGTCTTGGCTATGTGGGCTCTTTATGGTTCCATATGAAGTTTAAGGTGGTTTTTTTTCCAGTTCTGTAAAGGTCAATGGTAGCTTGATGGGGGTAGCATTGAATCTCAGGTGAGGAATTCACACCAAGCTCAGACAAGACAACAGATTTATGTATAGGTGCCCTGTTATGTATGTGTTGGGAGGCACAGGGGAGCAGTTGGCTCCAAGAATATTCCTTGACTAGAAAGTGGATTTCTAGGCAGAACCAGAACCTGGCTAGTTTCAGATTCCCTAAAGACAAAAGAAACTCCTTCAAGCTCATATAAAAAGTCTGTTTCTGTTGGATATTCACATGGAACTGTCACTATATTTGTCCCAAGGCTAGGTCCATGAGGGGACACCTCGCCTTTATGTTGGCCTGTGCTCTTAGAACTTCTGTTACTTCCTCAGGGAGACAGGAGGAGCCCCAGGGAGGCAATTAAGAATCCCAGCAGCCTAAGCCACAGCCCCCTACACTGTTTGAGGCCATTACTGATCTATTTAGAGCAAAAGAACTAAACAGGAGGGACTTGGAAACAGATGTAGAAGAAAACAAAACCAAACAGATCCTCAAACAAAAACGCCAGAAGGCCCAGAGGCAGAATAAACTGGATTCATAATAGGGTGGGGGATGAGTGTCAAGTCTGTCCCAGGTGGTTTGGAAGTTTCCTTTCCTGCCCCCACCTCTAACTCCCACCCCAATCCTCTCCAGCCAAGATCTGGGTCTTTCCAGAGGAGTCTGGGCCCTGGCCTGCTTCTCAGCATATTCTTATCACCCTAGGGTAGGCTAGAGTCAGGTGGGTCTTGCAAAATATACCAGGATTTTGCTTTTGTTTGTTTGTTTTTTTGAGATGAAGTTTTCCTCTCGTTCCCCAGGCTGGAGTGCAATGGCATGATCTCTGTTCACTGCAACCTCTGTCTCCTGGGTTCAAGTGATTCTCCTGCCTCAGCCTCCCAAGTAGCTGGGATCAGGCATGCACCACCATGCCTGGCTAATTTTTTTGTATTTTTAGTAGAGATGGGATTTCTCCATGTTGGTCAGGCTGGTCTCAAACTCCCCGCCTCAGGCGATCCGCCTACCTTGGCCTCCCAAAGTACTGGGATTACAGGCGTGAGCCACTGTGTCCTGCCAAGATTTTGAAAAAACTTTTGATACTTTCCTGTATGACTCTGGAACCCAACACGTGCCTAGTAAGGCAACTCACAAGAGTTAGGGAGTTTTCAGAGTTAGGAAGCTACATGTAACCCAGGCCCCCTGTGCTGCAGAGAATGTCTGATTAGTTAATATTCTCCAGTCTGAGATCTTTGAATGGTGTCTCCCAGTCTCTTCCAGTCCCAATCTCTCTTCTTGGGTGACTACTTAGTTCTGAGGTAAACCTGGTGTCAACCTGTGGTAGGTACAGTCATAGAACCGTAGAATCCTAGAGCTCTGAGGGACCCTAGACACAGAATCTAGTGGCTCGAGCTTTGGGATAGTGACTCTCAGAGGAAAACGAAAGTCTACAGGGTCCTACAAGGTCCTATATGAGCTTTCTTGACTCCTTCCCTGCCATAGCCACATCACCTCTCAGACCCCACCACCTACTTCTCACCACATCCCTCATTCTACTCCAGCCACACTGACTTAGCTGGGACTTGAACACACCAGGCATGCAGCCAGCCTCAGGGCCTTTGTACTGGCTCATCCCTTTGCCTGGAACTCATTTCTAAAATATCTGTACAGCTAACTCCCTCATTTCCTTTGAGTCTGTTCAAATGTCACATCTGCAATAAGGTTTAACTTGACTACCCCATCTAAAATTCCAACCTTCCCTCCCCATCCTCTGTGTGTGTAGGAATCTTTGTTTTGTTCACTGCCTCAAGCACTGTCTAGTTCACTGTCCCAGGTACCTAGAGCAGTCCTAGCACATCGTAGGTCTTCTATACATCACAAACATCACTAGATCTGCTTCTTGATGGAGAAAAGAACTCATGATTAGTGTGTAGAGACTTGTAGGTGATGTCACTAGCTAAGGTTACTTAGTTAATAAATGCCAGGGGCAGGGTTTGAACCCAGAGCAGCCGAAACACTCTCTGCCATTTATTAGCTCTGTGACCTTAGGCAACTTTACTGAGACTCTGTTTCCTCCCTTGTAAAATGAGGATCAGTGCATCACTCCTCACAGATAATTGTAAGAATTAAAGGCTATGTCCCTCCATAAACCCTGTCTTATAATTTAGGTCTCAGCTCAAATGCCACCTCCTCAGAAAACCTTTCCTGGCTACCCAATGTAAAGTGCCCCCCCCAGGGAGTGCCAGGCATTCAGTAGGCACTTGATAAATATTTGTTTAACAAGTGACTCCCCCACTGAAAACCCATCCCTGACCCATAGGGTAAAGTCCAAATTCCTTTCCAGGGCTTCCAGGGTTCTATCTAGGCTCACCTCCTGCCCCACTCCCTCCAGACCATCCCTCAGCCTGCAAACCCTGATTCCCAGCCCCCACTTTCACACCAGCACCCCACCTCCGGATCAGGGGTCAGCAAACTACTGCCTGTGGGTCAAATCTGGCTCAAGAGCTAAGAATGATTTTTACATTTTTAAATGATAGCCCTCCCCCCAAAAAAAATCAAAAGAAGATTTTGTGACACCTGAGCATGATATAAATTCAAGTTTCAGTGTCCATAAATGAAGTTCTGTTGAAACACAGCCAGCTCATCTGTTTACATGGTGCCTGTGGCAGCTTTTGTGCTACAAAGGCAGAATTGAGTAGTTACCACCACAGAGACCATAAAGATACAAAGCCTCAGTGAAATCTTTACTATCTGGAACTGCAGGAACTTTCCAGAAAAACGTTTGCTGACCCCTGATCTAGATATTTCCTACTCACCCTTGGAACCTAGGTTCTTTGTTGGTGTGTCAAGTTGAGGGAAGGGATCCCTCTCAGATGTGCCCCCAATTTTTTGAGTATGTACCCCTCTGTCTGCCTCAGGGCAGGAGAGTTTCCTCTGGTTCTTTGCTGAACCTCCATTGTTTGCTCC